GTTGTTTCTGCTATGCCCAAACTTTACCTCAGAATATTTCTTACCACAATGCTCCAGGAAGACCCCACCAATAAAAGATATCACTCTTGGTATATCTTGGCCTGATTATAGGAGCTCTCACTTAAAAATAAATTATCTGGTTCTACCACATGATAACTTACTCTTAAAAATGTAGTACCAACATAGAATTTGGTTTTTTTCCCCAATCTTTTCTGCCCTTTCCTGTTTCCTTATTGTCCCGGGCTCCTAGAAAACTCCTGGTTGTAAGTTTGACCACAGTTGATATATTAGCTAGATTCATTTACTGTGGCTTTACATATCTGAAAATTATTATAAACTGCTTCAAATACTTTTTGCAAAATGTCACCTTCTAAATAATAAGTGAATTAATGTTTCAATGCTTATTCTTTGTATGACCTTTATAATTGTGTGCAAGACTCATAGGGTATCAATGTCAACTTAAAGTAATCCAGAGTATTGGTGTGCAGACTGGTTTAGAATCCAACACACAGTGCTTGAAATTTTCACAATTCATTTTTGTAATATGTGGATTTGCGACTAAAGCAAGGGCCTTGTCCACCTTTGGTTATTACACAAACCTCCTTTTAAATAGCAGGAGGAATTGTGTATACAGAACCAGGGGCAAGAAAAAGTTTCCAAATATTGTTCCCTAGAGAAATGAAAACCTAGCCCTTTAGCTAATCTGTAGTGGGAGGGAAAGCAGGAAGACGAATTCTATCACATAGTACCGTGCTTTGTGGACTAAAGAAGAGGATGAAGAAGGAAATAAATCATAGAGATTCGGGGAAGATCCTCTTGGAATGCAGGACATCCAAGAGCGGAGCTGACCTGGGGGAGTGTCAGGAAGCACAGATACGTGCGCGTCGAGGTCGAAGAGCAGACTGCTGGGAACAGCAAGCGCCTCACCGCAAGATGAACTCACTGCTGAAGGTCAAGTTTAGCAAAATGCAAGGAATCTGGCTTAGCTTTCTCTTAACCGGGTCCATTGCTTATTTATTTTAATTAAGACAGTCTGCTGCCTCCATTAACCTTCTAACTGTGCAGTTTTGTGTACACAAATGGGAAAGATTTTGCCAGAATTGATATGTTTTTGTTCATTTTAGTTTGCATACTATGCCTTTACAAAGTTGGGAAAAAATTGTCAATCACAATTTTCAAAGTTTATTTATAGGTATTCTGCAATACCAAGTTCTAAATTTACAGATAAAATTTTATTATTTTTAATTTTAAGGAAATTAAAAAATAATAAAATTATATTTTCTAGGAAGAAATTCAGTAATGTACCATCTACTACTAAACTGAAAAATAAAGGGAAAAGAACAAAGATTTGACTGTGTGGTGTGAGAGAGGGCACAGGAGAATATTATATGTGCAGAGGAAAGGTTAATCTGAACCAATAAAGGAGCATCCACCTCAGCCAGGGCACTAAAGCAAGTCACGTGAACACTGCCTACTAATACGTTTGAATTTATGTAAGAGTATTGCATTCCACTCTTTCTGGTTCAGTCCCAACGTGATATTTTTTGATTAAACTATTTAAGATGATTGTAGAGTCACATGCTGTTGTAAAAAATAATACAGAGAAATCCCACATGCACTTTACTCAGTTTCTGTCTATGATAACATCTTATAAAACCAGAGGACAATGTCACAACCAGATGGTGACATCGATACAGAGCATTTCCATCACCAGAAGGATCCCTCCTGTTGTCCGTAATAGCCGTCTTCACTTCCTACCCACTGCCACCTCCTTAAACCCTAGTAACAACTAACCTGTTCCCCTTTTCTATAATTTTGTCCTTTCACAAATGTTATGTAAACGGAATCAAGCAGTATTTCATCATCTAGGATTGGGTTTTTTCACTCAGCACAATTCTCTGGAGATTCACCCAGGTGTTGAGTGTGTCAATGGTGCATTCCTGTTCATTGCTGAGTACTATTCCATGGTATGGATGTACCGTAGTTTGTTTAACTATTCAACTTTTAAAAGACATCTGGGTTGTTACCAGTTTTGGGCTATTAGGAATAAAGCTGCTATGAATATCCGTGTACAGATTTTGGTGTCAATGTAAGTTTTCATTTCTCTAATATGAATGACCAGGAGTAAAATTGCTGGGCTATGTGGTAGTTGCATGTTACATTTTTTAGGAAACTGCTAAATTGTTTTCCAGCATGGCTGCATAATTTCACACTTCCACCAGCAACATGTGAGCAATTCAAGTTTCTCTGCATCTTCATCAGCATTTTGTGTTGTCACTTTTTTTATTTTAACCATCTGACAGGTATTTAGTGATATATAATTGTGGATGGAATTTGCATTTCCCTAGTGGCTAATGACGTGGAACATATTTCATTTGCTTGTTTTCCGTCTGCATATATTTTTCAGTTAAACGTCCATTCACATGTTTTGCTCATTTTTTAATTGGACTATTTGGATGATTTTATTATTGAGTTCTGAGTATTCTTTATATATTCTGGATACTAGTCCTTTGTCAGATATGTGGCTGCAAGTGTTATTTTCCAGTCCAGGGCAGTGGCGCTTTGTTCCTGCTCCCCACGGGGCCTCTGTGGACGTTGCAGTGCAGCTGGCTCATTACTGCTGGGCAGTGGTGACAGCCCTGGCCCTCCACCGGGCCTCCTCTGACCCCACCCTAGCGGGGAGTAGGTGTAGGGAAGCGCCTTGACACTTCCCAGTGGGGATGAAAGTTCTGGGTCCCTTCAGGGGAGTGTGAGGTGCCTCTACCGCCTGGCAAGGGTGGAAGTCGAGGCTCCTCACTCAGCCTTTGCTGGCAGAGGTGGGAGTGGGCCAATTTTTTTCACCGATGTTTGGTTCAGTTAGAGTGGTTTTTGTCTAAAGAGCTCCTATCTCACTAGACCACCCCTTTCCTACCCCTTCGGCTAGAAAGAGCCCACTTTTATTGTGGTTCATTTTTTTGTCCGTGCCTATTGGCATTTCTAGGTTGCACTTCTTCAGCTCCAAATCTGGTATATATGAGACAAAAAGAAAAACAAAGCAAGTCACCACTGTGTCACTCCTTGGGTACCAAAGCCTCTGGCTGGCCTGCTCTTCTCTCTCTCTTTCAGAGTCTCCTTATGTTTTTAGCTGCACTTAACGAGAAGAATAGAGAAAACTACGTCAGTTCCATCTTCCTGGAAGCAGGGGTCTCCCAACGCATGAATTTTAACAACATAAATGAATAAATTCTTCTTTAAAGCAACAGGAATAAGTCACACTGTTAATGCATATGTTCTCATATTTCCACATTGCAGTTATGTGCAGTGCCTGCTCCAATATTAGAAATAAAAGAGCATTGCCTGGATAGGCCTCTGTAAATGCTCTTGTAAAACAGCAGGAATATGAGCAATAACAGAAATGACTTAAATTAGCTGGAGGAACTTCAACGCTCAGATTGAGTAATTTTAAGCTTGACATTATCTTTGCCCACATCATGTTTTAAATCTGTCTGAAAAGTACTTTGAAAAGTTTCAAAGATGTGACAAATATAACAGGAGAATTATTCTGGACATAAGAAAGTTCGAATATATTAAACTGGGTTTTTTTCCCCCTTTAATTACAAAGTTTATCCTCACCAAGGGTCATTTGAAGGGAAAATAGAAATGTGAGGTAGAAATTGAGTTCTTGAAGACAGTGCTAAGAAGAAATGAGAATAGTAGTTATATTTTAAATAACTAAACTTCTTGTGTCACTAAAACAATTGTTTCTTTCATATAATGAAACGATATTAAATTTCTTCATTGTTCATACATCACAGGAATTTGAGAACCAAATATGTATGTATACTGTAAATGTATGCCAGTTAAAATTAAAAAAAATAATTTATGCATTATTGTTTGAAGATTAATTGTGCCCAAGAAGTTGTATCGACAACTTTTAAAGAAACTATCCCGGGTTGATGCAGTTACAATATGATTCATTACATTGTAACACAGGTCACAGTAAGCCAATGGCTGTTTAAAATGGTAGTGTCTAGAGTAATATAAAACAAAAAAGTAATTTCCTCTGAGATTCAGAAAACATTTTCACATAAATAGATACATTACATTCTACCTGCCTACGAATGTAAACTGATACATAGATACACAGCCAGTGATGCTGGATCCCACTCATACCAGCTTGTAAGAACCTACTGTTAAATTTTCAGTAATATTTTGAGCTAGCTGAGGTCAAGGTTTGAACTAGTTTGAACTTGACCACAGTGAGAATATTTACACCATGGAAGTTGCAGAACCTTTAAATCAGCACTATCCACCCTGACTCCCACTTTTCACATAGACATGGTTGTTAAACATCTACCAGCACACCACTCCTAAATCCTTGTATTCTCCATCATTACCGGCACTTAAATATATATATTTAATAAATATATATATGGCAAATGTGTAGAGCAAATATGTATATGGCAAATATATATATTTGCACATATATTTTATTATAATACCTTATATTTTAATATACTATATATTATTTATTATTTAATTACATATAATAATATTTTATTTAAATTATATGTGTAATTATATATAAATATATATACTATAATATATATAATCAAATATTTCTTTTCAACAAGTGTGTGTTTTAAACACTACTCTTTGGCAGAAACTGAGCTGGGAGCAATAGGGACACAAGCGTTAACAGAAAGGATTCCCCTGCCTTATATTCATGACAGTATCTCATTTGAAAAAACAAAAAACAAAAACAATATTGTGCCATTTCTCCCTCACCTTTGCCTCATTTTCCCCTCGGAATCATGAAAGAAATAGTTCTTGGAAATGGCTGGTAACTACACAAATATTTTTGGAAATGACTGCTTGAAAATTCCTTAGCTCTTTTGGTGAGCGCACGCAGGCCTCCTGCTGCAGGAAGTGACAAACAAACAGTAGTGACATAAAGCACTATATATCCGACGTGCTCCAGAGTGCTGAAAGCCCTCCCTCTCCTGCAGGTCTCCACCCACAAGCGGGGGCTGACGAAGCCCAGCTGTGGGATGTGGCGCACGGGCAGGTGGGCTGCGTGGTTATTGCTGTGGACGCCAGAAGGAGTCACCATAGGCTTAGGGGTCTTCCAAGAGAACTTTGCTTTCTTCTCCTCCCTGGAGTATCCCGGCTCGGCATCCCAATCTTTCTTCATGGCTTCACACTTAAGACAGAAGGAAATCATATTCTTTAACCCCGTTCAGCTCATTAAATTAGAAGACAGCCCTTCCTCTCACTCTTGACTACATTAAATTCATTTTTAAATTTCTTAACACAGAAAAACAAAAACTGCCTGTCTAGGACTAAAGGGAGAGAAAGCTCTAAGAAATAAATGTTGGCTGTTGATTTATGTTATTCCTGGTTTCCTTCAGGCATTTGTCAGTTAAATATAGAATAAAATATCTGTACAGTGAGAAAACATGATTTGTGATTAGGATCATTAAGTTTGAACTGATAATGATTCTGTTTCAGTGTTTTATTATTGCCTTTTAGGAGCTAAATGATGAATGACCTGAAATTGTGTAACTTGTCTGAAACGTGAAATCTAAGAGTATTGTTCATGTCATCACATAAATAATCTCCGTGCAATGCTCAGAGGGAGAATTACGTACATCTAGATTTGCACCTGTCTTAGTTTAGTTTAAAGTTACATATTTCTGTTAGATGCAATTATAATAGCAAATAAAATATTCTCCTGATAGCGTTTATTGTATTGACTATCATTTATATGATTGTCTTAGAAATTTCTGCCAGTTTAATGTATCTCATTTCAAACTGTTCAAGTATCATAAAGAAATCAAATATAAAATGAGTTATCTTAACTTTGGCAATAAATGCTTTGTAACTTCCATGTGAGATTGACTAAAATAAACTAGAAAAAAGATGTTGCATTGTTGTCCTTACAAAACTGCCCATCTAGGAGAGAAAGAAATATCACTCAAAAATCCTTCTCTCTTCCTGTGTATCTAGGAACCTATCCTGGCACCGTCTTAGGGAGTCAGAATGCCGAGGACCTTATCAGGGCCAAGGAATATGAAAGTTTTGTTTTGAAAAATTGACACTCTTTATCTCCAAGGGAGAAATTAAGCCCATGCTTAATTCTAAGAGGTTCTTGGACTAGAGCAATTCCACCATTCTGTGCCCTCTGTTGTAAACCTTCTTTAAGGCATCAAGGGGATAAATGCTTGGGAATTTCTAATCCCAGTGAATGGCTCCCCCCCACCCTGCCAGATGGCTCAGGCCAGTCACATGATGACAGACGGTAAAAACGTGGATCACATGCTCGCCCCACCTCTCAATAGCCTTTTTCCTTACGAAAATGACATTAGGTCATATTTAGTTGTAAAGCAGAGGAAATTTCAGACCTATAGTAAATCAGCAAGATATTTCAAGATAGCTAGTTAACAATTCTCTAAAATAATACCTACATGTCTATGCACAGAGGCCGTTACACGGTTCCCATGTTCCAGAGGTCAAGCCTCATGTGGGGGAGCCCCACAGGCACAGTGTTTTTCAAATTCTGGATTAGAGTTGATTATACTAAACAGAACAAATGTAATTATAATATTTCTTTTTTGGGACCTGCGTTTTTCCTCTGAGATTTAAAAATCGTCGAGATACAATGTTTACAGACTAAAAATCACAACCCTTAATAACGTCCTTGATAAAGACCCTTTAAGGACTATAATTTTGAATGGGTGACATTTTATTGTTACTGGTGGACTACCCTAGTGAGTTTTTCTTAATACCAGCATTCACATAGTAATGTTATCCATCAATAGTTAAAATTTTGCATGATGATTTCAAAGATCTTTTAGTCACTGTCTTGACATGAGTACAGCCATGTTTGGCCGCTCCATTGACCTACAGCCACCAGCACAAACAGAAATACCAAGCTGCTTTCTGTGTGGTGGGAACTGGCCCTTCCCCCACAGAGAGAGTTGCAAGTTGTAACATTTCAAGGCTCTTGGAGCGTCATAGCATGGGATGGACTGGCCATCTGTGCCGGGCTGGGACGATAACCAAAGAGAACAATGCACGTACACAACTACTGGGCTGGGACGTTAGCCAGGGGGCTCAATGCACGTACGCCACTGATAACCATTTTGTGCATGGAAACACTAAATGCTTGCTCTGCAAACTCTGTAATTGCTTACTCTGAAAATTACTGATGGTATAAAAACTGCTGGAAACTGAGACCCGGTGAGAGTTCCACCTGTGGAAGGGACACCTTGCCCAGGACATATGATCCTTGCCCAGCCGCGTCGATTGACAGGACTCTCCCGGCAGTGGGGCGTGAATATTATGAATTTTTGATTTGATGTGAAGTAATTGATCTGATATAAAGTAATTGATCTGATGTGTTCTCTTTTCGGTCAACCTGGTGTTTCTCTTTCCGGTTGATTTGTGTCATTTCTCTTCAGCCGATGTGGATGTTTTCCCTTTCCAGTCGGGCTGATGTTTTTTCCCTCTTAATATTTGACCTATTTGGATCTATTTGCAGACTATCGCCTTTACTATCCTCTATATAATAAAATATACCTTCAGTCCATTTGTTTGGAGTGGAAAGTGTCTTTTACATCTCCGATCGAATCCCCAAACCTCTCATAACAGTCTCTTACATTTTTATGTTCTGTATATTTTTTCTTTCACAAAGTTTATTTTCGTGCATTTCATAGTCGCTATGTCCCCATGACCTATGAGAGCCAGTTCCCTGACCTCTTACATCTTTAAATTCCCACAGCTCACGGCTGAAGGATATTCTCTTTCCAAGGCAGTGAACTCTGGGGCTCCCTTTACCCTCTGGAATTTGAGTTCCATGCAAGGCAAGTGATGGGATGGCTTGCTTGAGTCTGTGACCCAATGATGTATATTGTAGACTATTTTTATTTTGATTGGCAAAGTCTTTAGAAATGTGTGATTTTAAAAACATGCTAACTTTTCTATAATAAATTATAACATATTATCTATAACCTTCAATAAATAGAAAGGTGCCACCTTTGATGTATATTTGGTAATAAATAAATTAATGACATGTTTAAATTATCTCTGTTATGATTAAGTACTATGCCAGTTGTCCTGAGGTGAGGAAAGATAAATCAAATAAAGTCCCTGTCTTAAAAAAATTGCTTAGTAATGTATTTGAAACTATCAATTACCACCCAGGAACCACATAGGTATGAGACTGAGGATGTAGCTAGACTCATAATGGGAGGCTTCACCTTTCCCACCTCTCCTCAAAGACTAATTGACATGTGGAATACTAAATATGGGACTTAGGAAAATGTGAAGTCATTATGTGACTGTTGGTTTCTTAGCACACTGCATCTTATACCCTCTGATATGTTTTCTTTATTAAACTTTATATGACATTATGTTAGAAGGGCTTGCAGAGGAGAAGCAAAAATGTCCACACAGTGATGCATTCTTCTGGGTCTCTGGAAGGGGGATTAGATTAAGTGACATGATTTTTTAATCCATAAAATAAACATGGCTCTTTAAGTTAGGCCAATTCTGAAGTGAAGAACATACACATTTGAGCTCAAAGCACATGATTGTGATATGAACTTCTCTGCAGTGTCATCACCCTAAACTTGCTGAAATAGATCATCTGTGATTTTTTATTGATCATATGCAGTAATGACTGTATTAGAGTCATTCGGGATTACAGAAAACAGAAAACACCAACTAGATGGATGGCTTTGTGCACAGTATTCTGATCAGGGCATATCTGGTTGCAAAGGAGGCTTATTTTAAGGATGAAATCACAGATAAGAATACAAATGCAAGTACAGTTGGGCCTCACTGAGAACCTGGAATTTAAAAACTCAGCAATTAATGAATGGAAGCTAGGCTGTCTGTTTATGTATCTTTCTCTCTATATCTATCTATCTATCTATCTATCTATCTATCTATCTATCTATCTATCTATCTATCTATCTAACTATCTATCTATCTGTCTATCTATTCATCTATCTATCTATCTATCTATCTATCTATCTATCTATCTATCTATCTATCTAACTATCCATCCATCCATCCATCCACCCACCCACCCATCTCTGTCATCTATCATCTCTCAGTATTGGCTCCATCATCTTCTCTTTCTGTATGGCTGCAAATGGTCACTTTAGCCACAAAGACTGTATTTTCCTTCAGCACAACTTCCTTGGCCTAATGACCTAATTCCCAATTTTTGAATGAGGGATCTAACTTTCCAAGGCCGCTTTTCAGCTAGGTCCATGGGTCTTGAGTAAGGAGTAGGCAGGGCATAGGGTCATATGGTACATATATGTTGAATGTAGTTTTCCTTAGAAAGGGATATGGATGGAGTAGGCAGTGAAAGGCACCTCTTATAAACAGGCACCTTAATCACAGCATGCCTAAAACTAGAATCATCTCTCTCTGCTCCACACCCTTTCTCAACCCATATCCACACAATACTTCTCTTCTTTGTGTACTCTATCTTCATGAATGGCATCAACACTCATCTAGTTATCCAAGCAAAAAAGATAGGCGACATGATTGATGTTTCTTCCTTATCTCCACATATTCAATCAGTTCTTGAAGGCTGATAATTCCTTGACTTTATGACTTAATATAGTACCTATATTTTATAGATTAGGAAACAGAGCCTTAGAGCAGTTAAGTAACTTCCTCAAAGTGACCTAGACAGTAAAAGGACAGAACTGGGTTTTTGTCCCAGGTGCTCTGACTCTGGAACTATCCTGCAGTGAGTGGAACTATCCTCTCCTAACAGGAGATTAGAGCATGTGTAACCAGAAGAGTCAGGGGAGTCTGGGCTGTCTGTGGTTATTTCACTCCTAATGCTAACCCTTTAATGGGCAAGTTACTGGTTAATTCCTACCTTAATCAACTGCAAGGAGGGTGGCTGAATAGAGATAAAATAACCACTACTCAATCTTTATGCCTGTATTGCTTCCTGCCTCCGTGCCTCTTCCAACTAGGATACATTACCAGCCCTGGGACCCAGAATGCCTGCCTCGGTTCAGTTCTTGGGCCACTGCTTTATAGGGTGATGAAAGGACAAGTTTACATCATCTCACCTTACTTAAAAAAACTTATGAGTACTAATACCTAGAAATAAAGTATAGAGAAATTTATATATCATAATTTATTAATCTTTCCCATATTTTAAAGAAA